CACACACACACACACACACACACACACACACAAATTGGAATTTTTAAAATTTAATTGTTCCACTGAATTACATATAAAAAAACCACTACAAAAGTGCTGAAAATACCTTCTCACACACAGCTGAGGGATGCTGCACACGCAAGGCGGCCTGACCTTTAATCAACAAAAATATCTCATATTTACAATAAACGGATCCGTACAAACTGCAACTCACTAATTATCATGTGTTGGACTAAACCCAATTCTAGTTAGCACACTACTGCAACTGCATAATAACTAGGCACTACCTGCCAATAGGGTGGGTGGGTGGGACACAGGTCAGGCTAGCATGAGGCAAGCAAAAAAGTGACTCTGATGACCTTGACCCCACCCTTGACCCAATCCCCCAGCAGTGTGAGAAAAACATTTTCTGCCTCTTTCGTTCCTCAGCCAGCAGAAAATAACACTTCAAATCAAATTCCTGGGGTATGCTTGATGAGGGATTGTGGATGTTTCAAATCACATTAGCTTTGATTAGAAATATCTAATCCCCACCTGATGCCTGGTTCAGGGGGGGTCATGTGTTACATTTACATGTGCATAAACTAAATACAACCGTGTCGCCGACAACTTCCAAATAGTGTTTTCATTTATTTTATTATCTGTGACTACCGCCGACAGTCGCAACAAAACAATTTTTTATTTATTGCAACAGTCGCTGATGAATTACGATAGGTTTCATGCACCTGCCCCTAGATTTTTAGCTTTTGCACCCTGAGATCTTGTCGAAAATTGCCCAAATCTGCAGTCTGGCAAACAGAATCGACATCTGTGGTATTGAGCATTTTTTACAATATTTATAGCTTCCAGCAATAACACATGTCATTGATGTCAACATTATTTTTATTTCATCCCAACTTAATATTTAGTTTTATTTACCCACAAATAATATTTACAAGTTGAATATTTAAGAATATATAAACGGGCTAGAGACCTCTGGAAATCCTGTTGGACTTTTAAGACATTGCTGGAAGGTTTATGTTTTTATATTAAGATGACAGGTTTTGCTTCAATACTGCTTTGTAGCTTACTCTGTATACTTGCTTTTAATATAGCTTGCTTTATAAACGCTTGCTATAAAATTAACTTTATAGCTTGCTTTAAAATTAACTATATTCGCTTGTATTCAAAGAAGAAATTTTACTAATATATATTTCGCACTGTGCTTAACATACTGACCTTTATTATACAGTATTCACAAACTGATCATATTTCATCTCAGATTTAGTTATTTGGGAATGCTGGGAAAAGCTGGAATGCTGAAAAAATACAGCATAGCTTCGTGTAAATCATTGTAAAATTCACATTTTTCGCCCCTGCCTTTCTTCTGATCACAGTGACAGAGGCCCAGGCTCTATTTGCCCGCGCCCGCCTGTGACTTCCCTCGTATTATAAGCAGGGAAAGCAGGGTTAAAATTTGGGAACGCGGCCAGCGCTAATGGGGGGCAAATTCAAGTCAAATCATGCTCTCATTGGCTAAATTGAAACTCCTCACCAATTGGAACACGAGTACACATCCGGGACTTGAATTTGCCCCCAATAGCCGCATTCCTATTTTTTTTGCCTGATGTCAAGATTGCGATGCCTCTTCTAGTGTTATTTATAATATCTAAGGTTATAAGGTCTTATGAGGAAGTCACAGGCCTGGGCCTCCGTGTTCTGATTTGTCGAAAAATGGACAATAACGACTTTTCCCAGCATTCCTCGCGATCGCTGGAATTGCCTATTGGGGCCTTTGGGGGTATCCACAATAACTTTTGCATAGAATCCGAGGAATTCAGAGTGAGATCAGTGGGCACATGGTTAATAGAAGATGGTGTAAAGCACCATATTGACTATTACGAAATAATAAATTTGCAAAGAAAACCTTGTGAATATAATAAAGGTCAGTATTGCTTAACAAAGCACAATGCGAAACATTATCCATTTCACTCACCCGAGAAATCGGGCTTTCGAACTACCATTAGACCCATTTGCTGGCTAACCCCTAATCCCACCTAAGAATGTATAATTGTATATTGACAACATATCCAGAAACAAATTTCACTCATTTATAGTTGTTACTTTTTTCAGTTTAGAATGTCGACTCCCCTTTATGTGATAAGAAGACTTATGTTCATGACACACGGTCTTGTGGATGACTATTTACCGTCACTTGATCATGTTATCACTGATGGTCATCTGGACAACAGTGCACTACGACATGTGGAAAATATTCTAACTCGGATACGAAGAGACGATGTCCTAGAAATTTTCCAACAGACCATGGCAGGTAAAGATAGGAAAGATGATTGCTGAAGTAATATTATTTCCCATATTAAACTTGAATCAATCATGTTTACCAGTCAACAAAATACGCATTTGAGGTCGCTCTCATACCCAGTTGACTCAGTAAGTCGCAATCTTTCCTTCTACATAATCTTGAATGGTAATGGCAATATTAAGAAAGCTTCAGATTGAAAGGAATGCAACTACCGGAAAAATACAAGGACTTCGACGTTACGAAGTTCTGACCTTGAAATTCGAAACGTCAAAGTTCTTACCTTGTATTTTTCAGGTTGTTGTATCCCTATTAATCCGAAGTTTTCTTTCTTTGTACAAACTATCACAGAGAAGATCCGCCGATCTTCATGTCTGTTATATATGATTCAATTGTGTATTTTCCTTCCTCGCAGTAGGATCCATTGGTAACCATCATCTTAGTTAACTCAATTTGCTGTATCCGGTTCAATATAGCGTGTAGTATGTTGACAAAATAGCGTCAAATTTAACAAAGGAATTCATTTTGTATATTTCTAGGAAATTTTGCTCTCTTAGAAGAAGGTGAAAGACGACTTCATAATCTAAACCAGTTTCACTACCGCTTCACTCAAAACAACAACCCGGTGAGGCGTGAAACTAGCGGACGTACAGAAAACGGAAATACCGTTGCTCACACACAAGATCCAGCACAAAACGACAGAGAGGATGGTGCAGATTTGTCGCGCTTATCAGCTCCTCGACCAAGAGAGGCTAGAGATGCAAGAACAAACAGACCACGGGCAGAACAGAGAGGGAAAAGACCGTCGAGATCTTCTCATCAACTGTCATCACGAGAGCCAGTTCCTCCACAATCATCAGCTAGTTCTTCCACAAATCCTCCACCAGAAGAACCAAGACAGCCACCACGGTGTTGCATTTGTGAGGGAAATATCCAGGTATAAATACTGTATATACTCCCGGTTGATATTTCATAGAATCCATAATGGTTACTTCTTTACAACGGTTACTTCTTTATAATGGATGCTGCAACACACCCTAACCCTTGACCTGGGGTCCCACTATCTGTTAGGTCAGTCTGAGCTGTAACTTTGGGTACGGCTGTTTGTAGTTGTCTTGCTAAAATACAACGAAAACTGAACCTTTTTCTCAAATTTTAATTCTATTCTTTGGATCAAATACAAGATTACTACTTGTAATGAAAAGAATAAACATTCTCAGTCTGATAATTGCTGTATTGACCATCATTTACTGTACGAAAAATAACTATTGTCGCCTTCGTATGGTAACGAAAATAGCATATCCCTACACTTTATGTATAGTCGAGTTTTAACGTCTTTGGAACAACTTTTTGTAGGGCATCCAAACGTCCAATCAAGTTTGGTTCGACATTAGACAGACCCTGAACAAGTTACGTCCACAACAGCGCCTCGCCTTCATCCATGTAATCAATGCTTACGACCCTAACATTTTAAATACCATCCAGTTCAATGCGGCCACTCTATCTGATGAAGTTGTCAATGATTTAATACGGTCCTTACAAAGATGCCATCTCCCTGGATCAAAGTGTGTTCTATGTTTACTCAACTACGTGTTGCAACGAGTTGGTCGCCTGGATCTCGCCATTGAAATTAGAATGATTCGGACTAGGTATCTATTTTGTGTTGCTCCTTCTGTGCTTTAAGTACTTATTTAAAGCACGCATAGGAGTGCATATCAGATATAAAACGCGAGGCGCAAAAGATGTCTCGCTGTTTTGTCAGGATTTGAGTCGGCATTCAGCTGGACATAAATCTATTAATATTGAACTGCCTTCGTTAAGCAACCACCAGTTACCAAAACTCAGTATGCGTATAAATCTATTAATATTGAACTGCCTTCGTTGAGCAACCACCAGTTACCAAAACTCAGTATGCGTATAAATCTATTAATATTGAACTGCCTTCGTTGAGCAACCACCAGTTACCAAAACTCAGTATGCGTATAAATCTATTAATATTGAACTGCCTTCGTTGAGCAACCACCAGTTACCAAAACTCAGTATGCGTATAAATCTATTAATATTGAACTGCCTTCGTTGAGCAACCACCAGTTACCAAAACTCAGTATGCGTATAAATCTATTAATATTGAACTGCCTTCGTTGAGCAACCACCAGTTACCAAAACTCAGTATGCGTATAAATCTATTAATATTGAACTGCCTTCGTTGAGCAACCACCAGTTACCAAAACTCAGTATGCGTATAAATCTATTAATATTGAACTGCCTTCGTTGAGCAACCACCAGTTACCAAAACTCAGTATGCGTATAAATCTATTAATATTGAACTGCCTTCGTTGAGCAACCACCAGTTACCAAAACTCAGTATGCGTATAAATCTATTAATATTGAACTGCCTTCGTTGAGCAACCACCAGTTACCAAAACTCAGTATGCGTATAAATCTATTAATATTGAACTGCCTTCGTTGAGCAACCACCAGTTACCAAAACTCAGTATGCGTATAAATCTATTAATATTGAACTGCCTTCGTTGAGCAACCACCAGTTACCAAAACTCAGTATGCGCAAGATAATGCGCGGACGGACAAAGTAATTGTCAAATCTCATGAAAATGAAAACATATATTATCATTTACAGTCTGTGCCAATGTATAGGTTGTACTAATAATAAGAAAGCTGCGGTTTGATAGAGATACAACTATACCTGAAAAATACAAGGAGAACGTTTCGAGCCCCTTTGTCGCTATACTACTTCCCGACGAAGAGCCTTCGCTCAAAACGTTCTGGTATTTTTTAGGTAGTCGTATCTCTATCAAACTTCGATGATACAAATTTAACAACTAGTGGTATATCTGCCGAAGTTGTTCAAAGTCAATTGAATGAGGATCTAGACAAAGTTCACTGGTGGTTGCTTGCCAATAAATTAACTCTAAATATCGAAAAAACTGATATGTATATATATATATATATATATATATATATATATATATATATATATATATATATATATATATATATATATATATATATATATATATATATA